TTTTAATATTAATAACTAAATATCAATGGAAGGAACAAATAAAAGACCTATTACCAGAAGAAAATTCAATTTAAGATCAAGACAAAAAGCTATCAACATCCCTATAACATAGATATCATTTTACAAATAGTAAAGTATAAATAATTATCATTTAATTTATTGATTAAAAAATTATACTAATATCTTATTTTTAATAGATGGTAAATGTTTAGCAGCAAAAAAATATAAAGAAAAAAACAATCTTTCAAATAATACAATAAATACTCTAGATTATCACTTTACCAAAGAGATAGTATAGAGCGGGGGGGGATGAAACTTTAATTCAAATGCTTATTGAAGAAAAAAAAGAAACAAATACATATATTTCAAAGTATAAAGAAATCCAAAAATACTTGCAACTCCTATTAAATAGTAACAAAAGTAACTTTAAAAAAGAAATAATGAAAGAAATGAAGAATGGCATGATTGCATTCCGAATGAAGAATAAAGTTTGTTACAATTGTGGTCAAGATCACAACATCAATCAAAGTGCTAACGAAACCTCCTTTGCTTTAGTCCCATGCACTAAAAGTAATTTCAAAAAACCCAAAACAGCTTGACTATGTGTAGAAGAAAGTTTAGATCATAGAAATGATACAATAAAATATTAGAAAGAAAATAGTATTGAGTATCCAACATAATATTCAATTGTAAGAAATGTACTTTCAGTTGCTTCTTCGTCCGTCGAAATTGAAAGAAAATTTTCGGGTGCTAAGTTGTTGGTTACAGATAACAGATCAAATTTGGGTTGGGAAAGAATAGAACAATGTGTGTTATTAAGGGAATGGGCAAACATTTCAAGAGTAGATATTGCGAAAACTCTGTCATTTATAATTATTCAAATATTTCTAAAATGGTATGATTAAATATAATTGTACAAGAATTTTAAATTTTTTTCATACAAAAAATAATGTAATTCTAAGTTTTTTTTTTTTTTTTTTAAGTTTCTAAGTTTTTAAAATGAAAAAATTAGTCAAGTGGGTTGGTGTGGGAGTGGGGGAAACTTAGAAATTATTTTTTTGTCAAACTTAAAATAATTTTATTCCCTAATTATTTTTGGTTGCTCTGGAGTTTTAGATTAAACTCCCTAATCTTTTCCTGCAGCTAGCCTTTTAGTTATTGAGGATGGTTTCCCCATAAATTTGTGAATTTCATCATTAAGCTTGTTAATGATTTCTTTTACTGGTGATTTTTTTTTGGGGTATTTTCTGTTAGGTTTCGCTTAATAGGGAAATTATTTGCCGCCATAAAATACAAATTTTTAATTTTCAACAAATTGGCCGCATAGCATAGTGGTATTGCGCTTCCCTAGTAAGGAAGAGGTCGTGGGTTCGATCCCCGCTGGGGCCTTTTTTTTTTAAAAAGAAAAATCTTCCCGGTGATAAAAAATTATTTTTTGCGATTGTGATTGGTGGAAGGTCAAGGCTGGTATCTTGAGACATTTCTTTTATTCAATCAGAGTTTTTAAACTCACCAGATAATAATCATCATTTTACTGATTTATTTAAAGTTTTTACTGATTTATTTAAAGCATTTGCTTTTTATTATCTTCACTTTTAAAAAAAAAAAAAAAAATAATCGTCAAATTTTTAAACCTATTCATACAAATATTAGCAATCAATAATTTAATCGATGATATATTAATAAATTATAGTATTGATTATAATAGTGCAGTATTATTAAACACTATGATAAAAAAACTATATAATTATTCGGAACTAAATAAATCATTTATCAATAATTTAAATGATACAGTAACTTGTCAAAAAA